CAAAAACGTGTATTTTTAAGACGTTGGGATTGGAAGTGTTTGGAATTTCTTTCTAGCTTTGTGCCACATGGTTTGAAAATCCTAAACAGGCGTTTGATGAATCAGTGTCTCTTTCCATTCCTTCTGCCCCGCAAAGACTGCACATTTAAGAACATGTTGTTATGTCTCTCTAAATTGAGAACATAGCAAAAAAAAATCCCTGAATCACCAGAAGCAGCGGTAGTGGGAAATGATTTTTCAAAACCCTAATTGTTACATCACTGAGAAAAATACTAAAGGTTGAGAATGAGAGCAATCACAGCTTTTCCTTGCTCTTGTTAGTATAGTTAAATGATCTATTCTGTGGCTGCTATCGTGCTGTTTTTCATGAGAGTTTGATCAGTTAAGTATGTTTATCCTTTTTAGTTCTTGAGAGAGGAAAACCAAGCATTCACTTTTTGTGGAGAGGGAAAAAAAAAAGGCTTAAGTCAGCAGACTGTGGATTGGTGTCACTGTGCATTGAGCTTAAGAACTTGGGAGTGAAAGAATGAACACATTCCATCTGGGCAAAAGAATGATGTCTGTTAGGGTTCAGTTTGCTATGGTTTTTGAGCTTTCTGTATGATCTCATCACTGGAGGAGGAAAGTATATTCTCCCATAAGAATAATCTTATAGTTATGATTCATTACTACTGTGGTTTTTTGTGTGAGCCTTTTGAGTGCCAGACCTCCCCCCACTCTTCCACCCCAAATAAAAACCAACCACCCTGTCTTTGGCTTTATATGGTATTGCTGTAGGTGGACTTACCCAGAATAATGGTTGGCTTTAACAATCAGAGCCTTACATCTTTGTCTAGAGAAGAAGTCTTCCTAAAATATATTTATTCAACTATTTGTCAAGCTTTACATTTTGGGAAGAAAGCTTGTACACTTTGTTTCCTAAGGTTTGGTAAGCACTCTTTTGCGTGAATGTTCTCTTGTATGAATTTTCACTTTTCTGCAAATATATATATATTATAACTCATATACTGAGTTTAGTAAGTTTACTTGGGAACATGCAGTTTCTCCATTTTTCATAGTTAATGTTCGGATTGTCACTTTAGTTCCCCAGACCACTGCCCTAATGAGTTAGCAATCAGTTCTCAGAGCAGCTGTGCCTTTTGGCAGTATCATTTGAAGCTGGAGATAGATCCCTTCGCTCCTTCTCCCGCATCCCCCAGTGAGCTCTCATATGGGGAAAGGGCAGGCTAATCCAAGTGTAATGGTTTCTGGAACTGTTACACGAAACCAGGAAGAGGCAAATTTGTAGAAAGGCAAGTGAACCCTGTAGGATGCTTGGCAAATAGGTGAAGATGTGGCAAATAGGTGAAAACCCTTTTTGTTTTCTCTTTCAACGTGACTGTAGACGATTTGTTTATTTCTCAGTAGTGAAAAGTAATCTGTCCGTAAGAAATGTGCCTTTCTGAACAGACCAAAGTGACTCTGGTGCAGTGAATGAAGTCATCCTAGCACAGGTCAGTTCCTGCACGTAAGGGACATGTGTTACAGCAAACCCTGTGGAGAGAATTCATGTATAAATATGGAGATTGTTTCCTGTTAGAAGTACAGCAGAGAAGTGTAATAAGCGTGATAAGCAAGAAACATAATAAATTATACTGTTCTGATTCAGTTGGCCCTTTTTCCTTTGAACTGAATTTTAAGTTCATATATATTTTCAAAGGAATACAAGAGCACTGGCTCAGGTTTTAGCAACAGTCTGTATGTTGAACTCGGCATTTTCCTAGAAAAAGTTGGAACATGGAAAAAAAACAAACCTTGTTTTTCATTAGACCAGTCAAAGACAGTCATGAGCTACCAGCATGAATTTTTGATTTGGTATAGTAGCCTTTTGAAGTTAGTGGAGTTGTAACAAAAAAAAAAAGTGATTTTTTTTTTTGAGACTTAAATATTTACTTTATAGTGTTTAATGGCTACAATATATGATATACTGTATTCAAATGCTAAACTATCGAATGACCATTGAAGAGCAGACTTAAAGATTCTTTACTAAAGCTCATACCTCCATGCTTTTCTTCAAAACGAAATGTAATCGCTATAGAGAATTGTTACTAAGAGAAAGTAATTAAATAAATCTCCCCTGCATCTAGTATTATGGAATTATTGAACTCTGGAAAAAAGCTGGCATACTGTGATGGTTTAATTTGTTTCTAGTAGGGATAGCTTCATTCTTCCGTCTCTCTGTTGCAGCCTGATAAACAAAGTGATGATTGGTGGGAACTGTTGGCAGGAGGGGAGTATGTCACCTTCAAATGGATACCTGGATATGAAAATTACATACCTGGAACACTGAAATTTTAGTTTTAGGATTTGTGTGAAATGAGGGCAGAAGTTTTATTGTGTAGTGATTGAAAAGGTCAACTGAAAATTGTTTTTATTTGTAACTTCTAAAAGTATGTGAATCATCTCATATCTTTATATGGTTAAGAATAATTCCCTCTTAAGAAAATTGTTTTATTTTAAATGGAGCATGAAGTATTTGAGATCCAGACTTGGGTAATAGTTCCAGTTACAAGGCATAGCCTGAGAAGCAGAACTAAAAATAGTTTAACAGTTGTTAAAGAAAAGCTAGAAATTCTACTCAAGGTCATTGTATTTGCACTTGTGAAGTGTGCCATGGAATACCAAATAGTTCTAAAATGAATAGGTTTTTCTTTTTCTTTTTTTTTTTCCTCCTCTCGGTATATTAAATAAAATCATAAAAACTTCTATAAACTTAGGCCTGAGAAAGGACCAAGGCAAGGCAGGGAGAATTCTCCGAATAAGAACACCTGATCTTTGACGGTCTGTCCTAATAATTAAGTCTGCTGATCACTGTACCATTACTCAATCACTCTCCGGTTCTACCTTCATTGTAATTGGAACATACTAGCTTAGAATCATAGTCTCAATTTTTAATAGAATTTTTTTTTTTTAATCTGTCTGGCACATGACTGAGTTGAAGTTATTTTTTGGCAAGAACTCTGCGAACCACATGGCTCTGCTTCCAAATCAGTATCTAGGTCCTGTCACCTACGCTTTATCATGCTTGTGATTGATCCACATTCAAACGTAGCAAGAAATTGTTATGGGTTCAGAAGTTTTCCAAGTTTACTGTAATACTGTTAGGCATTTTAGAAAAACCACTACTGTTTGTCATGTACTTTGTGAACAGTACAGAATGTTTCTGGGTTTGAACTTTAAGATGTGTGCCAAAATATCTAAAAATAAAGGAATCCAGTAGGTTCTTGCGTTGCCCTCTTCTCAAATGAGTGAACATTATTTAACTGTGCCGTATTTTTAATGGGGCTGTGAAACACATAGAAGTTGTAACTAAATTTATTTTCTTTGCATCTAATCTTTCTTCTTGGATCAGATGTGGTCCTTCCAGTCTAAACTGTAAATTATACTTAGAAAAAAAGCACTGTATATATGTATATTATAATGTTAATGTCCCTACATTGAACTAGTTTCTGGCTAGAAAAAGGGTGGTCTAATTAGAGGTTGCAATCCAATTCTTATCTAGCTGTTGAATAGTTGATGAGACTAGAACACGTACATTTTTAAAATTAAGAACGTATTTCCTCATTTGTTCTTGAATCTCTTGTGTGCATAAGAGACATGATCTCAGTACTCCCTCTTCTCCCCTAGCCTGGGATGAAAAGCATCCCAGTGTTCAGTGCTTTTCTAGTTGTTAGATTGTCATGGAAAGTATTATAGAAATTGATACTGTTTTCTCAAAAATGTCAGTGTTGAAAGTTAACAAAACAGCTGGATACAGTGCAGAATTTTCTTGTGTTGAGAGACAGAAATAAGATATTAGGAAATTCAACATGGTCTTTAAAAAAAACCCAACCCAACAACCCCCCCTCCCAACCAACCAACCAACCAACCAATAAAAACCATACCCTCCCCTCTCCAAGAAAGATGGGTGGGAGAGGCATCCTTCATGAAATATGAAGAAATACTTCATTTCTTTCCTTTTGTAACTTTTGAAGAATGTATGTCTCCTCAGCCTTCTCAATTTTCCAAATGGCAGGCCACATTCCTTACAAGCCAGGCATCATGTGCTTTCTATAATGTTAGAGGTACCCGAGTGGTATGTTCAGAGAATTTGACTTACTGATAAGAAATCATTCCTTTCTATTTTTACTTCCTGTCTACATCTGGACATTTCCCGTAAAGCCAACTTGCATAGTGTCACCCTTTCCTCTCCTAGTAAACAGTGTGTTTATGGTATGTTCTGATTTCTTGTGTTTCTAATATGATGACATTCGTGATACGCTCCTTTGTAACTTCAGGCTCTACCTTAACTTCCAGATGACTGGCATAATCAGGAGTAGCTACTGATAGCAATCTCCTGATGAAATTGTACTTTTTAGTAATCAGTGGAACCTTTTCTCAGGGAGAAAATGTTACATCTAGGTGTCGACTGTGGTAAAATGTGACAAAACCAAAATGCATTTCATTTACGAGCTGGTGAATTTTTTGTGCTGAACTTTGTCCCACGTGTGTTTGTTTTCTTCTATATGTGTTAAAGGGAGCAAGGGCCTTCCAATTCTCATCTCTTGTGGAAGTAACTGCCACTGGAAAATCCAAACTGTATGAAACTAGTGTGACACCAAATTCTTTGCTCTTCAGATTTTGCAGAAAACTTTTGTGTACTGTTATGGCATTTAATTAAAATTCATGGTTGGTGGTGAGGAGAAAGCAGAGGGGGGAAGTGCAGAAAAAGTAAATATCTTCTTGATCTCTTTCATTAGTAGTTAGGCCTGTCTGTCTTGACCATAACTCTCTAGAATGAATACATGTAAGCAAAATGTCAAAGTGCTACAGGGTTTATATTCAGAAAGGTGGGTGTTTCAGCAAGTTGCAAGGAGTATTGCTTTAACATTTTGAGGTAAAAAAAAAAAAGCTGACCAGAAAATTGATGGTTTGCCATAAGTAATTTTATTTTCTCCTCCAAAATATTTGTATTTTAACAGTGAACAGAGTATCTGCCAAGCACGAGCTGCTGTAATGGTCTACGACGATGCCAATAAGAAATGGGTACCAGCTGGTGGATCAACTGGATTCAGCAGAGTTCATATATATCATCACACAGGCAACAACACATTCAGAGTAGTGGGCAGGAAGATTCAGGATCATCAGGTAAGGAAATCTCTGAAAATTTGGAATGTTGAGAAATAAATCTTCAGCAAAATTATGGGACCAATAAATAATAAATGGATTTTTTTTTTAATTGAAGGAGCAAAACTGTATTATTGCTTTTTCCCCATGAACTAAGCACTTTGCACACCTCCAAGGCAACAGTCCTTTTACCATTCCTTCCTACAGATATCTATCTACAAAGGCTAGTGGTGTACACAGAAGTCATCTGGTTGTTTTTAAGGCAAAGTAGCAACCTAAAAGCTTTTCTTCCCCGCTCCGTGCTGTCAGCTGCAGTCTGCGTAGACACCAGCAGTTGTCTTTTGGCTCTTCCTGTCTTATCAAAACTTGGATCCATGATATCTCATTTCCCCCGATCATTTTGACCAAAAAGCTCTCTGATATTTGGTAATGCTTTGAGAGACTGAGAAGGGAGTAATAAGGATTATATCTTAATTTCCTTGAAGAAGTTACTGGATCGGGACTACATGGCAAATTTAGCACTGTGTCTTGAAATATGCTCTGCCATGTGATACTTACGATGGGGTTAAAAATCTAATCTTTTATTTGAGGAAAGCTTCTTATATTTGTTTCCCTTTCTCCAAGCATTTCATAGAATTGTTTTGGTCTGTTCTTGGTCATTTATCACACACCTGAAGCATAGACCGATAATCTCCCATGTGATTTGTCACTAAACACTTATTCCAAGTAATAAATGGTTTCTGTGCATTCATCTGAGAACAAACGTGGGGTTTTTTCCTCCCGTTATTCAGTGAAAAAGGTGAGAGTGATCCAGTTATCAAAGTGCAATGGGATCCTCTTAGTGGATGGCTTGTAGTAAATGGTTGTACTACCAGCTCGAATTTATCATCTTTTGTGTGAGCCATAACGATCTTGCAAAATGATACCTTGTGATGCATCGTTGAAGTTCACATGAACTGCTGCTGAAAGCCCTGCAGGCCAAGGGGCGCAGCAGCCTCAGAGAGAAGGTGATAACTTGGGTAAAAAAAATTGTAACAAATACTCTGTGAAATTCATGGAAAACTGAGTTTCTGAATTCCAAGTGCATATTCACATCAAGTAGTCTGCTGCTGAAAGTCAGAAGTGTTGATGTTACTACATTGCTGTTACGAAACATCGCAGCATCTTTTGAAGTGAGAACACTTAAGCTACAAAAGTTGATACAAAATATCTCATTAGTCCCCTTGTGTATTCTCATCCCTGATTACATACAGCCTTGGAATTAAAATTGAAATAGTTATGTGCTTCAGCATTGTGGTCTTTCAGATTGTGGGTCTTGAATTAACCCATGTGGTTAAGGAATAAAATCTACACAAAGCTGAAACTTGTGATGAAACAGCAATTTTAAGGAGAAGTAATTTATTTATTTTTTTTTTAATGATTGTAGGTGGTAATAAATTGTGCCATTCCGAAAGGGCTGAAGTACAATCAGGCTACACAGACCTTCCACCAGTGGCGTGATGCCAGGCAGGTGTACGGTCTGAATTTTGGCAGCAAAGAAGATGCCAATGTCTTTGCAAGTGCCATGATGCATGCCTTAGAAGTATTAAATTCACAGGAAGCTGGTAAGAATCTCTTAAGTATTTTTTTGTCTAAGATTGTTCAAATACAGAAATGGAAAAAAATTCAATGATTATGCGGGAAAGTCAATAAATCTTGTTTCTAATCGGGATTCAGCCTCTAGGCATTTTAATTATTTGGGTGTTTTGTCTGACTAATTACTGCTTCTTAACAGTGTTTCTCAACTGCACTGCCATCCCTGTAAATGCAATTCCTAGCAAGTAAATCAATTTTCATATTATCTATTACCTATAAAAACTGCTGGGTTTGCCTTTTTTTTTTCTTTAAGGAAGCAAAACCAAAAGACCTGACCAAGAAAGATGTACTCTGTAATTAGAATACTTTTCAGGATTTCTAGAGTCATCCACTTGTTCTTATGGTGTGTCAGTATCCTTGCTTCTCATTGATTACTGATTTATTATAAAAATAAGAGGTTTTTTCCTCCAAACTTTGGAATTCAGGTCATCCTCTTTGGCAGTTCTTACCATAAAAGAGTTTTCTAGCTTGAAGACTTTAAATCCAGAGGTAACCTTCAGATGAGCACATAAAATTTAGACAACAGGTCTGTCATTTTGTCTGTTTGAAGACTGGGGTGACATAGGGTGTAAAACATTGGTGGAAAAATTAGTTGCTTTCAGTCTTCAGGTGATATCTGTAACATGTTCTAGGTAGGCTCTACAGCAAATTGATCAGTATAACACTGTGATACACACACAGGGAGTTTTTCTTTTAAAAGACTAAGAGTCCTTTGTGTTCTTGTAACCAAATAGAATTCTTTTGTCCTCATTAAACTTTAAAGATTGCCCATGTAACAAGAGATAGTTCTTCTGTACCGGTTTTCTTTCTTGTGTGTAGGAGAGGCTGTAGATAACTTTACTAGGGCTCTCTCAACTACAGCAAAAAAAGGTGACTTTATCAAGTTGCTCTTTATTCTGGTAGTTGTTTCAAGACTTACCTTTTGAAACTAAGCTATCTAGACCACAGATGATACATTCTGCAATGCTTACACTGTTATGCAACATATGAGGCCAAAATAGAAATGATAGCTAGAGTTATAGGGTTTCTTTTTGCCTGCTAAAATAATCCAGTTGTGATTCCCATCCTCCTACCCTCAGCAGGCATGACAGTGCTCACTTTTTGGTCAGCGTGTCTTCATGGATTATTGTAATTTGTCTAATCCTAATTCTCTTGCTGTCTTATGCAAAATATATGTGGGCTAACAGCTGCATTGATATATTTTTTTAGTAGCAGAAGTTTTACTGAACTAAGGTGCCACTTCAGTTGGAGTTTGTCTGCTTCATTCAATTTAAGACCAGTTAATCTCTGATGATTGGTTGTTTTATTTTTAGGCAAATTTTGAAATGAGAGTTGAGTATGACTGTAGTATCACAGCCCAGATGCTGGCTGCAGTGCTGTCATCTACTGGTTCGTTCTTGACAGTTTTGAGGTGTAGCTCTGACAAGGACATGAATTAAGTTCTGTAATTATGTCTGAAAGTGACTGATTGTAACCTTTAAGTTTTCCAAATTGTAAGGTAGTCACTTTGTTTCTCCTTGTGATTTGACTTGGTAGCAGCAGTAGGTACAAGTCAAAATGCATTAAGTAGCTGCATCACAAGCTAATGATGGGCACAGGAGATAACTGTTCTTCCCTAGCCCCTGTCAGCCAAAAAGAACTGGAGTTGTTTAAGATTAGCTTTTTCTGTCACTGACACATAGGTGCTCTTAAGCTTCCATCAAGATGAAATAAAACCAAAGCTTTGAAAACCATCAGCATGGTTTTCAGCAGATGTCTGAAGATGAGTAGTTTAGCACTGCTGCTTTTTAAAAAAAATACTAACTATGCATATAGGATTGCTCTGTAAGCCTTGTAACATTGTAGCATTTCCAGAGAATATTTAAAGATAATGTTCATAATGTATCTGTGTTAGAATACTGTCATCAAGTGTTCCTAAGTTTTATCAGCTGGGAGGTTTGTCTTATATGTATGATCTACATATGTTAATATGTATGATCTACATATTTTCTGATCTCTATCAGTGTAGGAATTAAAAAAGATCAAGTATCTTTCTAAACGTGCCTGCTTCAGTGTTGGAAATGGGCTACTGAGTAGCTTGCAGTTTAGGATCAAGCTAATTGGACTCCTTGCTTAAAGTGTAATGCATTTCTTCTCTCTATAGTTGATATGATTTCCTAAAAGTGCAGCTAGAAATGAATCCTTGCTGTTAATTTTTCCCCCCTCAGCGTCTCTGAAATAGCTGAATATTTACTTAGATGGGTCACTGGCTCTGAGGCTTTCATATTAGCTCTACATTTTAGAAAATGGATTGCAACTTCCCTTCTTTTATAAACAAATTAGCCTATTTTTTGGAAAGGTGTTGAGAGAGTATATGTTATAAAAGTGAAGTTATAAATACGTGAAGATCAGTGCATAATGTATTGATGGTTTTGTTTCTTTCAATTATCTGCTAGGATTTTAAAGACTTCTAACACATGCAGTTGGTATTATGAAGATACTGCTTCAAAATCTGTACTTAAAGAATTGAAAAATCTGTACTTGAAGAGGACATCTTGTCTCTAATATTTTAAATAAACTGCTGTATTTTCTAGCATATGAAATATAGCATATAGAGCTTCCAACTCAAGTAAAATAAAAGCTATATAGGAACTTTCCTTTTCCTGTAGAATTGCTTACAGTCAAAGTTTGATTCTTGCAGTATCCTTATTTTCTGCTGTGTTTTCTCACTTTGGCGATTTCTTTTATTAGCTTGGTTATTCCATGTTGTATTTTATTCATAAAAGGAAAGCACTTTTAATGTTAGCTGAGCATACTATTCAGAAATTCATAAAGCTGTAGATGAATTTTAAATTTTATGCAAGGGTTCACAGAAATCTAAATGACTTCTGAGGAATATTAAAGATTGTGCTGTGTACATCCTTTTAGTTTGCAAGTCAGCTGTTGGGTATGGCTCTCTCGCTCTTTTTAAAATAAAATTAAATCACGGTCTCCTTCTCTTGCATATATTTGAAAAATGTCATTGATCTTTGCTTGCAGTTGGCATCCTCAGCTGTTCTGCTGGCTGCTGGCGAAATTGGAGGTTGCTTAATTTAGGATCTCCCTCTAGTGGATCTGCCGAAGCCGAGGTGAAGGCACTGGGTGCCCTGGACCGCTGAGCTCGCAGGGATGGGCTTTTCCTCCTTCTGATGAGTTCAGAATGCAGAGTGAAAGTCTCTGAAGTTAAAGGCTTTACTGCAGCTGTCAGTTTTCTTCTAAACCAGTTTTCTTCTAAAAAAACACTGCAGGTTTGTCTCAAAGGGCTCCGAAGCAGTGGCTGCCTTGTCAGTGAAACTGTCTGAAATATTCTGCAGGTCTAGGTTTTTTTCCTTCCCGCTGATTTTCAGGGCTGATCATATGAACATCCTGACTTATATGCTTGAATTCTGCTTATTTTATTTTATGTAAAAATCAGTGTTTTAACTCTGCTCTGGTTTGAATAATTGCATTAGCTAGTAGCTGTTCAACCAGACACTATTTTCCTGCTGGCTAGTTGAGCAGATTGTAGGCCACCTGCAAATTCAGCAGAGAAAGACAACAACACAGGACTTTATTTTCTCCTGGAATTTTAAGGTAGACTACTAATACTACAGGTTCTTGCCTCATATTATTTAGAAGTTGCATTAAAACTGAACTAAGATTTCTTTCTGTCACTCATTTGGGAAGATTTTGAAAGACTTACTTATTTCATTAAATGATTGTTTGGAGTTACACCTTCATCAAATGACAAGTGTGTGCCGTCAGTTTAAGAGGTCATTTGAAGAGGATTTTTAAGACTGTGTGCAATGAGTTCAGATATTCAGTTATCGGTCTTGTCTAAAGCTGATGGCTCTGTGAAAGTTTTGCATTTAATTACAAAGAAAATATTCATATCTGCATTAAGTAGAACTCAGTGTTGCAATCAAAGTGGCACTGGAATGAGTAAAGTGTCAATGAAGGGAAATTAGATGGCTGGGAAAATTCTGCGTGTGAGACAATGGATTATTTCTTTGAAGGAATAAGGGCAAGTGCTCTGGGAGATGGGAGGAACAAAGGAGTATCATACTCAGTTTTGCTGCAGAAGTACCTACTAGTTCAGCTGGAATTGGTGTTGCTTTGTGTGGCATCTCTCTTCAGTCTCAGGAAAGCCTTGCTAAGGGAATAAGAAACGAAAGATGAGATTTATATATGTGTAATTTGCATTTGAGGAGGTACTTTGAGTTGTTTGTGGCAGAAGATGAAAGCGTTGGAAGAACTGAAGGATGTCATACAACCGTAAATAAGCCTGTTCTAATTCTTATTACATACACCTAAGGTTCATGATGCTTTTTGTACTAATCTTTAGCAGTTATATATTGATTCTTGAAAAGATTTTGGGGTGTTCTGGATATAAAGGCAAGGGGGGGAATGGCTTCAGTGACGCTGTTGTAGTACTGCCTTAGATTGCAGTTTAATTCATAGGAAAATGGGGAGGAGGAAAAAGAAACAGTTTTTGTGTTTCCAGGGTCTCATTATTTTGTTCATCTAATCTTGGGGAAAAAAGCTCCTGTGGTTCATGTTCTTTGAATTTCTCTTGAATTATTAACTCTAGAAGTTAGGTTGTCCAGTTATTAAATTAAAAAAACTTTTATGGGGTAAAGATGCATGCTTTTTCCATGACTGTATCTGCAGTCCTTTTTCTTATAGCAGAGATAGTTAATTAAATCCTTGCTGATAGGGGAATGCACTTATATCGCGGATTGAATAATTTAATATCTCTGGGAAATGCAAACAGAACCAAAAATTGAGGTTTCCTAATTGGAATATATTGAAAGACAATGGAAGACTGAAATGAGAAAAATATATGCGGAGCTCGCGGGGGGATCTCAGATGCTTCTCTTCGTACTGTTTTGGTTCATGTCATGCTAAAACTTGTTTAGAGAAAAGAGAAATTCTACAGCAGTGAAGTAATTAGGCTATACCTGTACTCTAA